GTGGATCCGCCGAGGATGACAGACCGCCACCATTGCGCCGGTAGAGGACGCAAGCACGGGCGGTAAAAATCTCTTTTTAATCGATCTCTCTCGCCTTCTTCTCCTCGGGCGCTTTATGCTCTCAAAGAATGGCTTGGAGGCGGCGAAAGCAAATGCAGCAAGGTAAGGAGGGAGGGCGAGGCTCTTTACGATTTATGCAGGGTAAGACGAAAACCATTGGGCGACGAAATCGGGAAGTTTCCTCGGATCCGGCGCACATAATCCAGATCCGATATCTCCACCCACGCCCCACCTTCTCCACATTTAATCGCAGCAGAGACGTTATGTCCCATCCATCGACACCATTGCTATGCAAAGAACTGGCAGCCCCGAAAAGACCGCCTCAAAAGACACGCCAGCGTTGTCACCGATGGAAGGAAACACCCCCACCGATTCCTTCCGAAATAAGGAACTGTGCACCGAGCCCGCTTACGGTCCGTAGGTTCAAGGTCAGGCCATTTACGGTCTCGACAACCGCCTCGGGACGACAGAGTCGTGGGACAACTATGGGTGAGCCCAGACATGGTCGAGGCCCGAACAAGCGATTGCTTGGGATGCCCTAAGTCGTGTCTCGAGACCAAAGCAGGAGTTCTCTAAAGGGATCCCATGTGGGAGGCATCGAGCCCCTAGGGCCAATCGAACGGCCCTAGCACCCGCTAGAGAAGCCTTCTCGTACTTTTTTGGAGCGCGTCTCTGACAACTAGCCGACCCCTATCGAATGGGGCACAGGCCTCCACTGGACTTACCCGATAAAAGCTCACCGGAAATGTCACCGCTCGCCCAGGGGTAGCTGGCATGTTCCACCCCTCCTTCCGAGCGAAAAGGAAGCGCGAGGGTCGTACAAAGAGCCAGGGGAACTCCTGATCGCCCTCTCGCTCCGCGTGGAGGCTCGGGGGCTCTTCCTGCAACCTTGCCGAGACCTAGCAGCCTAGGCTCATGCGCGAAGGGCTCGCAAACAACCCCTCCTTCCAACGAAAAAGGATGCGCGAGGTCGTACAAAAAGCCGGGGAACTCCTGATCACCCTCTCGCTATGTGCGGAGGCTCGGGGGCCCTTCCTGCAACCTTGCCGAGACCCAGTGGCCTAGGCTCGTATGCGAAGGGCTCAGCAAACAACCCCTCCTTCCGAGCGAAAAGGATGCGTGAGGGTCGCACAAAAAGCCAGGGGAACTCCTGATCGCCCTCTCGCTACGTGCAGAGGCTCGGGGGCTCTTCCTGCAAACTTGCCGAGACCCAGCGGCCTAGGCTCGCACGCGAAGGGCTCGGCAAACAACCCCTCCTTCCGAACGAAAAGGATGCGCGAGGGTCGCATAAAAAGCCGGGGACTCGATGCGCCTCTCGCCACGTCATGGAGGCTCGGGGGCCCTTCCTGCAACCTTGCCGAGACCTAGCGGCCTAGGCTCGTACATGAAGGGCTCGGCAAACAACCCCTCCTTCCGAGCGAAAAGGATGCGCGAGGGTCGCACAAAAAGCCAGGGGAACTCCTGATCGCCCTCTCGCTCCGTGCGGAGGCTCGGGGGCTCTTCCTGCAACCTCTCACACCCCGAGGGTTTGGAAAAACGCGATGAAAAAGAGCACCAAGCCCATTACGGTCTAGGGGTACGAAGGCTGGGCCATCCAGGGCCTCGACAGCCGCCCTAGGATGACAGAGTCAGGGACAACTATGGGTGAGCCCGTACACGGCCGAGGCCCAGGCAAGCGATTGCTTGGGATGCCCTAAGTCGTGTCCGAGACCAGCAGGAGTTCTCTAAAGGGGATCCCACCGTAGGGAGGCACCGAGCCCCTAGGGCCAATCGAACGGCCTTGGCACCCGCTAGAGAAGCCTTCTGGTACTTTTTTGGAGCGCGTCTCTGGACCACTAGCCGACCCCTATCGAATGGGGCACGGGCCTCCACTCGGACTTACCCGATAAAAGCTCACTGGAAATGTCACCGCCCGCGCCCACCGAGGGTAGCCTGGCATGTTCCACCCCTCCTTCCGAACGAAAAGGATGCGCGAGGGTCGCACAAAAAGCCAGGGGAACTCCTGATCGCCCTCTCGCTATGTGCGGAGGCTCGGGGGCTCTTCCTACAACCTTATCGAGACCCAGCGGCCTAGGCTCGCACACGAAGGGCTCGGCAAACAACCCCTCCTTCCGAACGAAAAGGATGTGCGAGGGTCACACAAAAAGCCGGGGGAACTCCTGATCGCCCTCTCGCTACATGCGGAGGCTCGGGGGCTCTTCCTGCAACCTTGCCGAGACCCAGCGGCCTAAGCTCGCACACGAAGGGCTCGGCAAACAACCCCTCCTTCCGAATGAAAAGGATGCGCGAGGGTCGTACAAAAAGCCAGGAGAACTCTAGACCACCCTCTCGCTCCGTGCGGAGGCTCGGGGGCTCTTCCTGCAAAACCTTGCCGAGACCCAGCGACCTAGGATCGCACGCAAGGGCTCGGCAGGCTCGGGTGCTCCTCCTGCACCCCAAACGAAAAACAAGCAATCCGAGCTCGCCCACATGGGTCAAGCAAAAGCGATAGAGCGCCTTACTTAATGAAGAAAAAGCCCCTAAAGGAGTAAACTCACTCCTCTAGGGCCTCAGGGGCTACACCCGGCGGGTGCGCTCGCGCGCACCCACCGGAATCGCAAGTATAAAACAAGCCCGACAAGAGCCACTGAGAAACAAAAGTCTCGAAAAAACCTCAGGGAGAGTATCCCACACTCCCGCCCGAGGCTCAGGGGCTACTGTCGGATACCAGAAAATGGGGTACCCCAAGCAAAGATCGAAAAACTACTCAGACCCTAAGAACAGAACCAACGAAATAAACAAACGAGGTCTCGGCCGAAATCTCCGATTCGCCCGAGACCCCGTCGCCGAGCCCTAGCGGAAGCGAACGATTCTCCGACTCGCCCGAGACCGCCTCGCCGAGGCCCCCTCGTCGAGGCCCCCTCGCCCGGGGCCTCGGAAGAAGTGCCGATTCTCCGATTCACGCAAGGCTAGCTCGACACCAGCCCCGTGACCGCCTCTTCGACCAAACTGCTCTGACCAAACGTCGCATCCAAGCACCCAACCACTCCGACAGATGCACGATGGCACAGTACAGCGAAGTGACCGACTACACGCCAGTCGAGTCAACCTCCTGCCATCTGCGATGGCACAGAGCAGGGGTTACCGACCACTGTGCTGCCTAACTCCTGCACCAAGGACATCGCAACGTGGGGGTCAGAACGGGTTCCTGTAGCCTCGGAATCAGTGGACCGACCGCTCTGGCTCGCTCGAGCCCCCTCGACAGCGCCTCGGATTCACTGATCTTACTCCACCTCGCCCGTCCACCTCCGCCCGAGACCCCCTCGGAAGGGCCTCGGACGAATTGGCCGCGCTCCGCCTTGCCCAAGGCCGGGCTCGTCCCACAACCTCGTCGCCTCCGCCTCAAAAGTCTCTCTGACAGGCTATCGCATCCAATTAATGCGCTCAGCTGCACCCGCTACGTAAGCCACGATCGGCAGTGCGCTGCAACAGGAGCGACGGGACAACGGTCAGATCACCTTTTTTACCATCCCTTACTGACAATACAGGTACCGTTTCCTATAGGCGCACGTCTCACACTGTTCCGCCCATCTGCACCTGGGTCACTTCTCAGGCCTCGACACGACAGGCCTCGGCACAACAGGCCTTGGCACGATCGGCTACGATGGCCGCCGAGCCTCTGCAATCCACCAAGTCAACAAATGCGCAGCATGTTACTTGCAGTGGAGACCATGCCGATTAGACATCTACGGGAACTTCCACGACAACGCCATGCTGCTCCAAGAATAAATACGTCATCGAATAGTCCTTCTCCACGTGTAGCTCTCTTATGTACTCCTGGTTTCCTCCTTGCGGCTATAAAAGGAGGCAGCCAGGACCGTTTCTAGGGACGACGGCAGATAGAGTCACGAACACTCGCACGAACAACACGCCGCATTCTGTAATTCATATCACATCCCCTCACAGAGACTTGGGACGAACTCCCTCTCTCGCCTAGCTTGTAACCCCCTACTACGAGCACCCCGGTGCAAGGAATACGAGAACATCTTCTCAGACTGGACGTAGGGCATCCATTGCTCGAACCAGTATAAACCTTGTGTCTCTTTGCATCACCATACGGAATTGGGAGCATGCAGCACAAATTCACTAGTCGGTCAAGGACCCCCGGTTCCGAAACACCGATAGATAGCCGTACTATTAAGAGGGGTGAAACTCGTATCGAAACGCGGTTATCAAAGTGCCACTAGATGCTCTAACTCATTGCATATGCATTTAGTATCTAGTGGAATGCTAACACCCTTGAAAATGTTTGTGAAAATATGCTAACACATGTGCACAAGGTGATACACTTGGTGGTTGGCACATTTAATCAAGGGTGGTGAAGTTTGGGTGCAAGGGTAAGATACTCCACCAGCGGAGTGTTCGCCCATAGAGTGCGGACAGTCCTACGGTGCCACCGGTGCCCTAGACAGAGAAGACGAAGGTCACTGTATGTGACCGGACGCTGGTCTCGGTTGGATCGGA